ACAAGCCTCTTGCAATGCAAACTTTCCACTTATTCACCTGTGATAAAGACACTGGGAGGCCTTATGAGTCACACTTGTCCCTTGTGCCCAGCCCCTAGAGTAGACAGGCACCAGGTAGCCACTCAAATATTTGTGGACTGGTGAATGAATTCATCACACAGGATATAGAGGAGTCAGCGTCAGCGAGAGAAGGTAGCACGTAGCCGAGGTGCGATGTGACCTGTGACCGTGTGAACTCCTTATTCAAGGAAATGGGTTCTGGGCCATTTTGATTGGAATTTGTGGATGTTCTTTGGGAAAGGAACCTTCCACATCAACCTGAGTTTCTATTTCTACATGTTTTATACCAACTCAGCTTTATTCTGTTCGTTAGGCCTCAGAATAAGCCCTATCATGAGATTTCCATAGACTGTAATTGGTTTAAAATACCATCTTTTGGCAAATTCAGTGGATTGTATAAATGGTATTTTATGGCTTGCTAATATTACATTTTTTATTTTTATTTTTTTTTTTTTTGGCGGAACCGGGGATTGAACTCAGATCCTTGCGTTTGCCAGTCAAGCGCTTATCCTACTGAGCCATCTCCCCGGCCCCTTGCTAATACTACAGAAAGTTATTCTTCACCATGTCTTTATTAATATCAGCACTTAAGGCAGCTAGCACAGATGAAATGTAGAGAAAATCAGTTAATCAAGTGGAAGTAAAATAAAAGGAATTGGGGCCGGGGAGATGGCTCAGTGGAATAAGTGCTTCCCTGGCAAGCACAAGGGCCTGAGTTCAATCCCCGGTTCTGCCAAAAAAATAAATAAAAAGAATTCTGGAGCCTTTTCGCTAACCTGTTCCATGAGTTTGTTGGTGAGTGTTGGTTTGGACCAGGGTAGCAGTCAGCTATCATGCTAAGTAACCTTAGTGCCAGCCCCAGGTCTGTTGCTGACTCTAGGCGTCACCATGGGATGATCCCTTTCCTTCGCTTGACCTTAGTTTCCTCATTTATAAGAAAGAGCTAATGCCTATCTTTCAGAATGATTGTGGGAACCACACAATAGCATAGGGAAAAATGCTTTATAGGCAGTAAAGCCATGTCTCAGATGAATTATTAGTTCCTTGATGGCTCTTGGAGTGACAGGGCTGGAATCCACACAAGAGCTCTTATCAGTGGTCATTATGTAGTAAATGCTGAGTAATACAGCAATATTTGTAGGCACCCCTGAGGCTCAGAAGCACCTGCTTGCAATAAGACTTTGTCAGACTCATAACCTTGCCTTCCACCTTGACTGTAGGCCATGTCAGGTGTCCTCATCATCAAATGAAGGCAGGTGAGGCTGCAGTGTGAGATGGGAAGGGCCACAGCCAGGTGTGAAAGGTCGGAAGGGAAAAGAGGGATGTGTCCACAGAGCCTGGAAGAGTGTGTGTTTGGTTAACTGCCCTCTCCCTGGTGCTTTGACTTGTGCCACACAGAACCTAGTCCTTGAATGTCAGTTGAGTGACGTCTGTGCCATGGTTTTGAATGAGCCCTGCTGATGACCACAGCCTCTTTTATTCAGTATAAATAGGCAACTAAAATTGTTCCACATAGGTTAGTCTTTTCTTTTCATATATTATTGGTTTACCAGATATTCTTGTAGTGCATGCAGCCTTTCTTGTTTTTTAAAAAATTGTGCTTTATAGGCAGTGGGGCATAATTTGCTTATTTATTTCATACAGGGTCTCACTGCATAGCTCAGACTCCTAGTTATCCTCCTGTTTCAGCCTCCCCAGCACTGTGATTACAGGTGTGTACCACCACGCTGGGCTTCAGGGCCAGCACGGCACACCCAGGGTTCTCAGGCCAACACAGCGTGTGGCACCGGCGATCAAACTCAGGTCCTTATGCTTGCCAGGCAGGCGTATAGAGCACCAAACTATCTCCACAACCCATGCAGCCTATTCATGGAAGAATGCCGAACACACCTTGAGGACACAGACATCTACTAGGCATTTGCTATTAAAGTGTAAGAGGACCATGAGAGAGGGTATTAGTACCATACTAGAGAAATGATCCCTGGAAGAATAGTCTTGACAGAGGGTATTTAGAGTGGGACAGTTTGAGCTAGGGCATGGAGGCTCCAGGCCCCTTCTGTTTTTCTTTGTTTCTGCCTGCCACAAGGTGAGCAGACTTCCTGTGCCATGTGGCTCCACGTGACGTTCTGTGCCACCATAGGCCCAAAGCAGTAGGACCAAGTGACCATGGACTGAAACCTTTGAAACCATGAGCTGTAATAAACTTTTCCTCCTTATAAGTTGATTTATCTCAGGTATTTTGTTATAGTAACAGAAAGCTAACATAGCATGCCCAGTATCTTTTAAGACATGACTATGAGAATCATAGTTTGATTTAAGTTACATGGATTGTAGGGCAATGATTTTCTCATTTTTTCCCCCAAATATTTGAATGCTGTCCATGTGTACAAAGCCACACCAGGTATGAGGGAGATGTAAAGTTGAATCAAAATAGAGTCCCTTCTTGAAAGAACTACTGCTTTGGAGTGGGAGAATGACCAAGCAGTAGGACTGTGTATTGGAAAGATGCATCTGGTGGTAACAGAGGACCTGGGAAGAGGCCTGCATGCTGACCACTGTCACAGAGTTGAGAAGACAGACATGCAGCACCTGCACTCTGGAAGTAGAGGTACAGAGGGGATTGTCTGAATCTTCTGCACATTGCTGAAATGAGATGATGCTCTTAAAGTTTAGATCCAGTTGAGCTTCTTAAAGTAAAGGAAAATGCTTTTGGTAAAGATAAATCTGTGTTTTGCCCTAGTGGTATCACTGGTCTGTGGTAATATCTCCCATTGAATGACTGGACTTCGGTGGGAAGGTGGTGGGGCCACAGGTGGAGAGTGAGGTAGAGCTCCTGCGGCAAACTCAGTTTCTGAGGGCTGAGTGTAACTCAGGTTGTCAGTTGAAAGCTCAGGCTCCTTTCCCTGGCCTTCAAAGTCTCTGTCCTGTATACAGGTGTACCTCAGTGTCCTTAGAGAGACACTGGCCTGGGCTTTCTCAGAGTCTAGACTGCTAACCATTACATGATGGCCCGGGCTTTCTCAACTAACCCCATACAGGAAAGGAGGTAGTGATGTTCCTTCCATAAGGCCTTAAGACTTACATCTGCATCTGAGACCATCTGGAAGTACAAGCAGCTGTCGTTCAGGTCATAACTCAAGACTTTGGTCATAAGTTAAACCAAGTTGTTCGTAGGTCAGGTTGGTCATAACTCGAGGGTCCACTGTACTACCTCTGTCAGAGAGAAGCCTCTGACCCCTCCTCCAGGCTCTCTGCCTCCGCCCCACCACTTTACCTCCTCCTCCTCGTCCTCCTCTTCCTCCTCCTCCTTCTCCTTCTCCTCCTCCTCATGCCTGCACGGAGACCTTACCCCAGTCTCCTATGCTCCACTCAACTTGATTCCTGCTCTCAGCATTCCTGCTCTTTGGCAGGCAAATGGCCACACTGTCTGTGTGTCTGACTGGAAAGCTGAGCAAATTATTTTCTTTAGAGTTATGAGAAATGCACAGTAGATGCACTGCCTGAGGCCTTGAGCTAAAGACAGTGCTCACCAAGGACAAATCCTGGTTTGTTTCTGTGTGGATGGTATTCTGCCATACTTTATATGGATATCAGCTTACTCTGCCCCCTCTTCTGAGTTCTCTGAGGGTGGAGTGTTAGTTTCAGATCATGAACATTTAGCATTGTACTTGCCTCAGTAATTGTTCAAAATGGGCCCTTTGTTCCCTCTATCCACCAAAGTGCTGTTGTTGACATCTCATCATCAGGGCACTTAGCGTGGCTTTCCTGGAGAGAGATGGGTGACCTCTAGTCCTTACCTCTTCTGCTTGGGACAGGGTCCCACTTGTGAGAGGGGCTGGCAGGGGCTGGTGGCTGGGAGACACAAAGCAAGTGCTGACCATCCTCCTGTGCCACACTGCCACACACACACACACACACGCACACACACACACACACACACACACACACACGCACTGTTTTTATGAGATGAGTAATCTAACAAACTAGAAACAAAATTGGTCTTATGACTATTGGAATTTTTTAAAGTTCAGGATGGAGGAAAGAGCTCTTTTTATAAGAAAGGACCAGTGTCTTATGAATAAGCAAGGCAGAGCTGGCCAAGGGACGGCTGGATGCTGTGGAAGCTACAGGTAGAAGGAAGCGCAGTCAGGAAATGACAAGTCACAAGGGTTGAAGTTTACAGGCCAGGCCTGGATGGAAGTGAGAAGTGCAGGGATGGCATCTCAGCCCATGTCCTGTCTGTGCTGTGTCTCTTGGATGCCCATTGACCAGAAAGATTGGCTGTGAGTAGAGAAATCCTAGAGACTTGGCCGCCCTACTCTGGGGTTGATCAGTCTGTTGGCATGGGTGAGGGGAATTGAGCTCCTCAGCATTGGGAAAAGACAGGTACTGTGAGTTCTTCATACATCCAAGGGTCTGTGGGCACCACATGGGAGCCCCTGAGCTCAGCCACTGGGCAAGCCCACTTTCTGGGTAAGAACAGTTGTCTCTGGTAAACCAGGCTCTAATGCGTTTGATGCTGCCCAAACCCTCTGGCATTCCCTTCATGAAACATGATCACCGCTCTCACTCTATCATTTTGTGATTTCAACCTTTTTTTCAGACTTGCTCTTTTGTTAGAAATACTATAATCACTTCTTAGCCTTTTGGCTAAGATCAAGTGTTAGAAATACTATAATGTAAAGCCCAAAGGCAAATCTCTTTCTACGCATGGTGCTTCAGTACTCCTGTGTCTTGGTGTTCAGTGCTAAAGCACAGATGAACTTAACAGTTCTTTATTTGTGGTGCTGGGGATGGAAACCAGAGCTTCACTTAGTGAAGCATGCACTGTACCATTGAGCTCCACCCTCCTCCTGAGTTTCTTCTGCTTAGTGTCTGGGGCTCAAGTGTTTTTGGGATGACACTGCCCTGTAGTGATGCGCTGTGTCCTCTGTTTCCAGCTATTGTAGACGATGAAAGACTTTCTGCAGAGGAGATGGATGAGAGGAGACGGCAGAACATTGCTTATGAGTATCTGTGCCACCTGGAGGAAGCCAAGAGGTAAGATCCAGACTCTGCATGTCTCTCCTCTTGGAGATAAGCTGGGGCAAGGTGTGGGTTGGGTGACTGGAAGGGACATGGATGGGCCAGCAGTTCTAAAGAGTTGTCAGAGTTGAGGGTGACTGGGGAGAGGTTCTTGCCTGCAGTGAGTGATTTTGATTTGGAAACTCCCGTGCCAAGCCAGGGGGAGTGGGCTGACCCCTCCACACTGTGTTCTATCCTCACCCCAGCTGGGCGCAACAGCACTCACCGGTGCAGATGTGGCTGCACTTTTAATAACTCGTTTGCACTCCTGTTGGTAGCAGGCCTATGGGAGAAAAGATGAACTGCTTCTTGTTTAGGCAGAATTGAGCAAAAATTGCCATCACAGTCAAGGTCAAGGTACTAGGGAGGCAAAGGTTCACTTCCCTTTCCCAGGAAACCCTGAGCAAAGTCCAGATTGTGTCAAACTCTTCACCTTACTTTCACAGATATGGAAGGGCAGTGACTGTGTTGGGTTCCTTTGCCCCAAAGGCCTCAGGTCTCCTATTCACCCTCAGTACATCACCATTTATGATGGTAAATGCCAATGACAATAGCTTATGGGCTGAAGTCCATGCATGGGTAACTAACCTGAGTGTGGGTTTATGACAGCAATTCCCTGCTTAACCTGTGGGTGTGTGGCCACTTAAGGCATTTTGTCTCTAAAATCACACTGACTCTTTTGGACTCTTCTGATTAAGTAAGTGTTGGGTTCTCCAAGGAGAAAGTAAAGATAAAGAATCCTAAGTGCAAACACTTTCTTTATCAAAGGACTCAAGAGAACTTTGACCCTGGCTGGGTAAATACAACATTGTCCAGATGTGTTATAGTTTGAGTAAGCCCTGTGTGATATGGGGCTCCATGTGGGAGCAGACATATCATTTTATGGGCAGATGGTGCGTTCCAGTCCTCTTATTCACACAGAAAATAAACAGTTAAATGGTCATTGGTGTTAATTATCTCTGATCACTGATAAATGATTATCTCCAGAGTTAGAATTACGAGGATTTTAATAAGTGTTTTGTAGAGTCCTACTGGGTGATATATGTCCTAATTTGGCATCAAAATTGCTTTATGGGGGTTTCACAGTGTTTACTATTCTCCGTTGTAACTTCCTCTAAACTCTGGTGAGCGAGTCTTAAAAGTTGTTTAAGTATCTGTGAAGCCTATGGGTAAGTTTCAGGATGCTAAAGATTCCCTACTAGTCTAAGAGTGTTGAAAATACTCCTTAAGTTACTGGGGAAAAAAAATTTGATAAAGTGAGTGGTTCATAGACATTCAAGCAAATTGTACTTTTCATGAAAACATTTTGAGGATTAATGGAAACTTTCTTCCTTTCCCCTATGCTTCACATCTAAGCTTTTGTCTATTTTGCTTTGGTTTTTCTTTTGTTTGTTTTGTTTTTGGTAGGTGGAAAAGCATGTCATGTAGGGGACAGGTATGTGATTGGTAGTAGATAGACCTGAATTTTTATTCCCTGCTCCACCAACACTTATGTACTCTGTGGCCGTGGACAGGTCACCAGGCCCATGAGGAAGTTCAGTTGTGTCACCTCTGTAAATGGGACAATAAAGACAATATGCTCTATGGATTACATGAGCTTTTTCTTTTTCTAAATAGCAACTACAGAAGGTTAAAAACATGAACTGGGCCTGGTAGCACATGTTTGTAATCCCAGCTACTCAGGAGAAGGAGGGTGAGAATAGTAAAGTTAGTGAGACACTGTCTCATAATAAAATAATGGGGGGAGGAGAGAGAGAGAGAGAGAGAGAAAGAGAGAGAGAGAGGAAGAAAAGGAAGGAAGAAGGAAGGCAGGAAGAAAGGCAGAAAAGATGAAAGCATTCTGCCAACTGTAGTGTCAGGTATATGGTGATAATGTAAGGACAGTTTTGTCTCTAATATATCAGGTGATATAAGTGTAGCCTGAAAGCTTGTCATCTTCTCTACTACTTCTGAAATTTGGTACTGTATTTGAACTTCATTTTAGAAAGTCACCGTAACAATGATCCCATGTTCTTTGAAGAAGCTTTCCTCAGGAATAGTTTCTTAATAGCGGAGCGGATTAAAGCGCCTACAAGTAGGCACAGGGACTGGAGGTCTGATCCCGGGGGCTACTGAGACGGCAATTGAGACTGGGTGTGGTGGTGCGCCCCTGTAATCCCAGCACTTGGGAGGCTGTAAACATGCGGATCACTACGAGTCTGATCTAGTAGTGAGACCCTGAACACCCTGTAGACCCTCCCCCCAAAAAAAGGAATTGTTTCTTTAAAAGAATAGACTATAAAAATAAAAAGATTTCCCTCTAAGATTGTTTTTCATAATTTATAAGAGATTAAATGTAATGTGTATTTGTGAATAATTTATTAATATGTACACACTTTCTTTGGTTGTGCATACATTGAAATTATAGGACATCTACTAGATATAAAGCATACTACACAAGGGAGTATTATTCATCTGTGAAAGATACTGCAGTGTGGATGAACTTTAAGAACACTGTGCCAGATGAAAGAAGGCACAGAAGGCCGCATAGTGTGTGAGGTACCCAGAGTACGCAAAGCTATTGAGGTGAAGTAGGTTAGAAAGGCTGGTGAAGGGCAGGATGAGGGACAGCTGCTGTGGGTGTGGGGCTGCTTTGGTACTAACAAGATGTCATAAAATTCACTGTGGTGATGGTTGCACAACTCTAAACAACTACTGAATTATACATTTTAAAAGGTGAATTATATGGCTATTTGAGCCTACCTCTTCTACTCAAATGTATTCGTTCTTTAGATCATAGCTTACTTTTTCAGGGAATCTTTCTTTGGCCTACCCATCCAGGTTAAAACTCCTTAATTATAAGGTCTCATGGCTTTGTATCTGTTGCGTGTTTGAATGCTCAACACTGGATTACTATCCTTCATTATTAAAGATAGTTGACAACTCACCATTTCCAGTAGGTTTTGGGTGTTGGGGGTAAAGAGTAAGATGTGAAGTAGATGTATATTAGGATTCTAGAAAGCCGGCCAGCCTAGAGGTAAAACTGCTATGTTGCAGAGTCTGTAGAAAATTCTATATTGCAATTAGATGATGCAAGTCCTTTAGCTGTGACCCAGTGTATTATGAAGCTGGGAACTGTCAACAAGTCATTAAACCCACAGTGAATTAAAAGATACATGGCTTAGTAGTGAGTAAGTGAAGAAAGGTGACCTGTGTATGAGGATGACTTTTGATTTGAAATTATTGCTCCTACTTTATAGAATTATGGAGCCGGGGTATGTGTCAAAATACTGACATTAATGTCAATGTGTGCCTAGTCAGCTTTTTGCTATTGTAACAAAATACCTCAATAATCAGTTTAAAGGAGGAGTGTTTATATTTGCTCATGGTTTCAAAAATTTGCAAGGGCAAGCAGAAACACTCAAACTACGCCCAGGATTTGGAGGCAGATTTATTTACATCAACGGGCACTGATTGGGATCACTCCCAAAATATCAGGCCCTGATCTCTGGTGGTCTAGGGTTTATTTGAGATTAGCAAGCTGGAAGTACAGAGGCAGAATGGCTCGTGAACTAGGGATTGGTTTATACAGTGTGAATCATAATGGCCACCTAGGCAGGACGGTGAACAGCCTTTTTTAAGAGATAAAACAACCAGTTTTGGAACAAGATCTATTAACTGGGCAACTAACCGACTGAAGTACACTGCCTGGGGGAGAAGCATTTTCTGCTATACTTTGGGCCTGTGGTGTCACAGAATGTCATGGCAGGAATGCATGGCTGACAGACAGGAAGGGATAGAGCCCTAATATCTTTTTTAAGAGCGCACTCTGATGATGTAACTGCCTCTGGCTAGGCTTCACCTCTCAATGGTTCTGCCACCTCCCAGTAGTGACACAGGCTGGAAAACACCTCGGCCACATTCTCTTCAAGCTCAATACTCAGTAGTGTTGGCAGAGTCCTGTTCCTGACAGGCTTTTGGATTGAAGACCTAGTTCCTTGTTGCTGTGAATCTTTCCTCAGCTGCTTGCCATAGGGTTTCTCCTTAGGCAGCTTCCAGTAGAGCTGCCAGCTTCCAGTAGAGTGGGCAAGAATGGTTTTATAACCCAGTCTCAGGAGGGCTGCACATTAGGTTTACTGTGTCTATTCATTGAAATCAAGTTACTAAATCCAGGTTATGCCCAAGGGGAGGGGATTACGCATGGGTAAGAATTCAAAGGGGAGATCTTTAGAAGCTGCCTTCTACAGAATGCCTTCATATCCTTTTGAAATTGAACCCAGAAAGGTGCTTTGGTGGAAACTGGCGGGAAAATCCTAGGATATAGCTCAGCTACACATTGCCTGCTTGGCAAGTGCCAGGTCCTGAGTTTGATTCCCCCTCTCCCCTAAAAAGGAAAATACTTTTTGTTACTCTCAAAAACCCAGCTAGAAGTTGGATGGTGTCTTGAGCAGACTGGTTATGTAGTGTTTGTTTGTTTGTTTGTTTGTGTGTTTTTGGTACAGGGTCTCACTATGCAACTCAGACTCATAGTGATCCACCTTTTTCAGCTTCCCCAGCACTGGGATTACAGGTGTGCACCACCCTGGGTGCTTGGCTGAGCATGCCCCAGGGATGGGGCCAGCACCAGCAAGTGATCCTGGGGATCAAATCCCAGTCTCTCCTCTTGCTTAAACAGGGGCTTAGTCTGCTAAGCTATCTGGCTGACCCTGACTGGTTATGTTAATAAGATTATAAGATTATCATTGCCTTGATTGTTTTTGTTTTGTTTTGGGGGTGTTGGGGATTGAACTCAGAACTTCATGCATGCTAGGCAAGTGTTCTACCACAGAGCTGTACTCACAGCCCCAAGCTAGTTTAAACTAAGCCTTCTATTCTTCTGCCATTTACAGTAATACAAAATGAACTTTTAATTTTTTCTTTTCAGATATCCCCAGGAGCCAGCTTTCTAGCTTTGTTGCTTTGAAAATTTTGCTAAAATGGGTCTGTTTTCAGATTAG